TGCAGAAGAAACCTGTGAATAGTTTGAAAAAAATTGGTTCAAAATGGGATTAAGAAAGTGTTGTAATTGTATGAATGGGAAAACTGTCCAGTTTTTAAGTTATTTTACTTTTTTTAATAAAAAAAAAACGTAGAAAAACTCTAAATGAAAAAGATTTTGAAACGAAAATGAAAACTATGAAAAATTCCGTTGAAAAATTACTTAAGAGTAGGGGAATCAGCTCAAATGGTAGAGCGCTCGCTTTGCATGCGAGATGCAGTGGGATCAATACCCACATTCTCCAAAAATTTGGAGACCTTTTTAAAGAAACTTAATTAGAGAAGAAACCTGCGAATAGTTTGAAGAAATTTGGTTCAAAATGGGATTAAGAAAGTGTTGTAATTGTTTGAATAGGAAAACTGTTTTAATTCCAGTCGGTCTCTGAGCTGCACACGTCACAGCTACAGCAAGCTCCTGATTGGTCAGCGCGGCGCGGAAAATCCGGCAAAGTTCAATTTTCTGAACTCGAGCGATACGCGCGCGGTTTCACCCATCTACGGCCGGTCCGCCTCCTGCGCGCGGCTCACAACACGCGTATCGCCCATTCATTCCGTTCAGTACGCGCCTATCGCGGCAACCGATAAAGATTTTGAAAAGAAAATGAAAACGAGTGAAAATTTCGTTGGAAAATAGCATAAGGGTAGAGGAATTAGGTCAAATGCACTGTAAAAATTGTAACACCCAAATTGTACATTTTACATATTTTGATTATTTGTATTTTATTTTATTTAATCTGTTTTAAAAAAATAAGTATAATAATGCTTTAACTTTACCCAAAGTCATTTATATTTCATGCAACAGATAAATTCAATTAAAGACAAGTTAATTTTTACTAGTAATTTCTAATTAGGAGTTTTTGTGTTGAATTAATTCTTTTCAAACGAGTAAATCTAATTAATTTTTTAGCGCACACGTTGCCGTTTTTCATGCCGTTGTATATACGTGTTTTTAACATTTAGATATTACTTAATTAACGTTACTTTTGCAACATGGGGGACATTTTCTCTCAAGCAGACAGAAATTCAACGGCCATCTTTCTTGTCAGCGGCCCAATTTTCGCCCGGATCTTCTGAGAAAGAAGTTAATCAATTCACTCATAATATAATGATGTTTTAGATTACAACTTCGTTCTGGATTTGGTTAATTCTACAAATAGCATGATGACAGCGTTTTCTGACCGCGGTGCCTGTCAGTCACGGCATTTTACCTATAGATATGACCGCACACCAAATGAATGTGTATAAATAAGCTATAAGCAGTCCAAAAAATCTTTGGCTATGGAGTTTATTATGTTACATGACATTTTGTGACTGATGTGTTATTACGTGAGGAGACCCTTTAGCTATAGCACGTGGTGCAAGGAAAGCTGCGAAGTCTTCCAAATGTAACGTTAATGTAAATTGACAATGAATATGCAATATTGTACTTTCACGCAGAAGATCTATAATACATACAATATATATACGCTCAGATATTTGTCTAGTTAGTTAGTTTCACGGAAGAGTTAAAACGGCTTATTGTGTGACAAGACACGAACACAAGAAAATTTGTATACTCAAACGTGTATTTTATTCTAATTTATTTGTCTTTAGTCTAAATAACATGTTATCAATTGTGTTCCCAGTCAAAATAAAGCAAGCATCAATTTTGTCCAATTCTTATATTCTAACAAAAAAGATACGTAAATGAGGGCTGTATGACTAAATATATTACCTAATAATACCTAAAAATTTGTAGTTATGAAAAATAATATATTTTGTTTAAAACATAAAGTAAGTGATTTAACGTTAAGATATACTTTGCATGATGTTTTACAAAAATATTTTATCATTGCATGTTTTTAGAGACAATGGTGTATACCAATGTTTCAACATCCTTCTCTCAATCAATCTACACAGGTAAGGTGCACAGTTTACTTTATGCACTCAGCTACAAATAGTAAATGTCCAAAAAAGTCATTAAACTAAATATCTCACACATATAGACATTTTAGAGCACATAAAACAGATGCTGATAATTATTTGTGTGTATAGTTACTCTTGTCCTAAGCCTGAGGTTTTTTCTATGTTATTTATTTTAATTTAAAAATCAAAATTTCTCTTTGTCTAGGTATTGAGTAAAGATGAATTGGCCATGCAAAATATGCAGTGACCGCATGCACAGCAGAACTGAGGTTATCAAACATTACAGGTTTCATCATGGCACCTTCACCCATAGTCATTCACTACCATGTATATACTTGGATTGCCCATGTTCGTTCCAATCTTGGAGCACTTTTCATTCCCACATGTCTCATAGTCATCCGGAAAGTCAGACTCAAAGGACCGA